CAGCAGCGGATTGGAGTCAGGCTGAGGCGCACTCAAGTTCAAGTTGGAGCTGTTGCAGAACCAGGTGCGCTGCCACCAAGTGTTGCAGTGTGCCCAGCTCTGTGTATGCGTGTGTGTCAATTCAATTCAAATCAGCAACGCACTGACAGGAATTAACCTAATTTTACAGCCAACAAACTTGGACCGCAGCCGCACTGCGCCGCCTCTCTCCATGCCTTGCATGAATGAAGATGATGACGACGACGACGACGACGACGACGACGACGACGACGACGACGACGGCGACGGCGATGACGATGACGACGACGACTCACGGATACTTTCAGTATGCGCTCATGTAAAAAATCCAGCGATCTGTTCCACGTCCATGCCGCATTTTTCATGCCGCGTACGTTGTGTGCACTTAATAGTTACCCATAAACACGCTTTCCCGTCGCAAACCCCCATCCCGGTTTCAGTTTCAGTCCCAGCTGAGCCAACGCAATTCATCGACTCGATACTGCCGCTGCCGCTGCTGCTGCTGGTGGGGAGCATCACCGTTTCGTCCCCCTAAAAGAGAGTCGTTGAGGGTTGTCGGCAGAGTCGATTTTTCTGCATCGTGAACCACATGATGCAAAACTAATTCGAAATTAATGTGTGTGCGCTTTGTCTATGCCCTTTTGCTGCCTGGGGAGGGGGTCGCTGGGGGCTTTGGCTGTGTTCCCCTGCTGCTGAGGGTGGGTTCGACCACCCACCCCACGCCCAGCCCACTTGTGCACTTGTCACACACAAATCGGTATTATTCACGTAGGTGACAGTCCTGACCAACAATTGAGCTATAACCATGATGTGTATTCGAATTCTTGAACTGACCAAAAAATATCTTGAGAAAAGTTAATACTTGACAATTTTATATTTCTATAAATCCATTCAGTGACACTTTTTGCTTGTTCTTATAGATACGAAATATTTGTAAGGCCTTCTATCTTTTTCTATATATGTGTTTTGCAAGCATGACCTTATTTTTGGGGATCTTAATAACTTACTTGATTATTATATGTATATGGTTCACTTTTGTCTTCAGCGTTATTTATTTTTTATTTGAGGGTGAGGGTTCGTTTTATAAAGAGAGATCAATTTGAGTCCGGTTCAGTCGAAAACTTATTTTTAAACTCTCGAAATTTCGCGCTTAATTTCTCATCCGTTATTCCAAACTTTGCCTGATAAATTTGATTTATAATCTAGTAATATTTTAACATATTCAACTTATTTCTATATAGAGCAGAGGTCTGTAGGAGTATATCAGCAGACAAGTTTACCGGCAAAGTTATCATAACAGTCGAGTTAAGAGTATCTAAAAATAAATACCGAGCGTTTGTCAAGCATTTGCCTAGGGGTTGGGAACGGGCTATTCGGAATGAGAGTTTGGCAATGAAATGGGTTTTCGGTTTCTCGTTGAGGGATGTGGAGAGGGGTGAGGAAGGGGGGGGGGGGTGGCTGCTGACAACGGCGCGACTGTTGCAAGATGCGTTGCCAAACATCGCACTTGACTGTGCAAACAAGCAAGTGGGCGTTCAATTGGGGGCATGGCCGGGCAACATGCGTCACTGTTTATTTATTTGCTTGTCCCCGCGTTCCCAATGTCTGCCCTTTTGTCTGTTTGTATGTTTGCTAGGCTGTCACTCAAACGGATGGGCTGAAGGCTCAAGGATGCTGTCGTAGCCGCCGCTGCACTTGTGCGACTTCCTCGAGGACGCCGCTGGCTGCTGTTTGCCTTGGCTAAACAGAGGCGTTAACGAGAGCAGGGCCATGAGGGCGGAGGGGCGGATGGGGCGCCTGTAACGGGTGGAGGGGGGGTCATGGATGCGACACACAAAACGCGAAATAAGAAAAAAAAATGTATATATATAAATATATACATATTCCTAAGCGAAAAATGAGTGTTTGAACTTTTATGGCTGTCGGGCAGGCGATGCCAGACGTTGTCAGGGGGTGGCAGCACTGAGGGTTGCTCTCAATGGCATAATTGCTATTGCTACAACAACAATTACAAACAACAGCAGCAGCCAACGTTGCTGCAAAGGTTTTTGTGGCAATCAAATGAAGTGTTCCTGAATGGTTTTCAAAGTTAATTTGAGTGATGCTTGAAGCAAGTTGTTGTTGTTGCTGTTGTTGTTGCTGGTATTGACAACCCTCCTCGTGCTGCACACAACTCCCCGCTGCCCCCTTCTCAGTCCAACCGCCGTCTTCAATCGCCCATCGGTCGCGTGTTTATTAACATGTGTTAACAACAACTTAAAGCGCCCATATGGAACGCTATGGAACGCCTGGGCATGCTTGTATGGACCCGGGCTCTATGCCATATTGGGTGGTTCCGCTTGTAGTCCAAGGGTTTCCCTTTGGCTCCCGATTCCTTTGTCAACTGGCGACATGTAAGCGATGCTGGTAAACACTTCAAGTTTCCGTTTCGCTTCATTTTTGCTGTAGCCGTTTGGTGGTTGGGTGGTTGGGTAGTTGGGCGGTTTAGCTTAGGTGGTTTAGCTGGTTGGCTGGTGCTGCGGGTCAATTGAGAAAGATTATAAAGAAACGCTTGATCTGAAAAGCAACTACAAAGCAAGCTTCCTGCTACTTGAAGGGTGCGCACCTGACGCAACTTGAAGCCACGATTCAATTGGAAGCTTGCGCCTGAAAATATAAAACAATGTGGGAAATTTTACAGTGAAAAAGGGGTGGCAACCACTTGAAACTATGATAAGATTGAAAACTTTTCGTAAAAAGATAAGAGTCGTAAGTGCTGTAGCTTTTAAACAGCTACTGCTTGGAGACTTAAATTACCGAGGGTAAATGAGGATTTCCTTAGTTAAGTGGGTTAGTCTCTCCAACAAGCCGAGCTTGTGATAGCAATCAGTTTAAGGATGTTGATGGTAATTTATCGCAGCTGAGCTTTTCTTTTTTGAATTGCATTTTAGATCTCAAGATGCCCGCCTGTCTGAATAGAAAGTAAGGGCCTTAAGCGGAAACTAAGGTGGTTATTCCCATATCGACAAAGCTCAGAGTTCGCTTTGGGCACAGAGCTACTTTCTGGAGACTTGAGCTAATATTTGACTCAAACTTCAAATTTGATCATTTTTCATTAGAAACTCCAATGACTTGTATATGAAAGTATGGCCATACCTAGATTATATTTGACTGAAAATCTTCCAAGAGCTTCAGCTCTGTTGCTGCCGAACTAGTTGCTCTTAAGCACCTTAGGGGAATAATAACCTTCCCTAATAAGCATCAAGTGAGAGTGGTAGTCCATTTTTGTATAGACGTAGATCTTCTTAGAGTTTCTGCCTCTACCTAGTCTGCCTTTGTCAGTCGTATCTTCTTTCCAAACTTCGCGCCTAACGCCTAACGCCTAAGCAGCCGTCAGCTCGTGCACATTTCATAGAGTTTTGGCATTTCCGACTGCAGCTACGCAGCAATTTTCGCAATTTTTGCAATTTTTTCCGCTGTCTGAAGCGCTCAGCAGTTCTATCAACTGATTGCAATTAACCTTCAGTCGCTCGCATTCATACTCGTTGGCGCATTTCGTGTTTGAGTCCAGGCGAGCTCTCTTCCTGCTCGTCACTTGCGATTTGGCAAGCTACGATACGCAGCTGCATTATGGTCATCATCTGGGCTGGGATTTGCATATGCTGATGCAAGAGACAGCGACTCGTAATGCGTTAAGCTCCAGAGCTCTGGCAAATGACTATGGCTCGACTTCCCGCCCGGCCTTCCTTAGCCAGCTGACTGTCTGACAGGTGGATGACTCGCCTGGGACTTTGACTTTAACTGCGACTGGTGCTGGAACAGAGGCTAATGACTCTGAGTCAGGCGCCAAATTCGAGGCATATTGCGACAAGCAGCACAAATCAAAGCCACAGCCGTAGCCACAGCCACAGCCAACCCCCTTTTCGAGTGTGGTCTAAAGGGGGCGGCTGCTTGTTGTGCCGCATCTGCTGCGGATTAGATTATGCATAATAAAGTGTAATTTATTTTTCGGCAAGTCTCGAATGCTGCCAACTGGCTGAGAGGCCAAAAAAAAAATAAAGCAAGGAGAAGCAGTAGAATGAAAAACAAGAAAGACTTGCAACGCACCCAAGGGAAACCCACGAGCGGCAACCCTTAGTCAGGTGGATGCGTTGTCTGCAAACTGTCCCCAGAGGCGCAAGCACAGATTTGCAAGAGGGGGGGGGGGGGGGGGGGGGGGCGCAAGGGATGGGGGACAACGGATGGCAGACGGCGGACGGCAGGCGGTTAGAAGACAATCGAATCGAGCCATTTGAGTGACACGTTTCAACGCTCTTCCAATGGCCATGGACGACTCTTTGGCCTCGTGCGGCGCTTATCTAGAGCGCTGCAGGATGACGAGATGATGTGAATGGGAACGTGAATGGGAATGTGAATGGGAATGTGAATGTGAACGTGAACGTGAACGTGCCAGGAGAGAACGACGCGTGTCAGCATTTTATATGGCATACAGCTCTGCGATAAGAGCTGCGTACCAGGCATACCAGAGTCGGGCTCAGTTAGCCGTCGGGCCATTGGGAAAGGGCCTTAATCAACTTATTTGGGCATCAGCGGAGCGGCAAACACCAGAGCGCTACGGAACTGCATTTGACACGTGACTCAAGGCTAGAGTGGCGGGGTTCGATTTGCTTGTGGGCGGGGTTTTTGGGGTCGGTGGCTGGGGGTTGGAGGTTGGGCTACTTAGTGCATGAAATGGCGACACGTGACCAAAACGAACGTTCGGGGCGTCGTTTTTGGCTTAGCCCAGCACAAATATTATTTATTGCAATTGTATTTTAAGTGGCTCTCGGCTTTTGGGTCTTTGCATACGTATTGTTGAGCAATTTGTTAGAGATTTCGTTAGCAATTCGTCGTTGAGCTGCTTCCATTTGCATTCTACAACATAAGCATAAGTATCTATATAAATGTATATACTAACTATATGGCGGTGAAGAGAAACTAATAATCTTTCATCTCTCGCACAGATTCATTAATGGGCTCGGCGAGCGAAGACGAAGACGACGATGATCCGCCACATTTGCGTGGACCGGCGCTGGGATTGGGCGTGCTTGGACCGAATGGGCCAGACTCAGCGGGTGGACCGCTGGGCACCTCGGATATATCAGTACAAAGCATGAGCACCGATAGTAAAAATACGCATGACGATTCTGATCAGGTAAGTTTGCTCGATAAACACCGACTGAGCGGAGATGTGGCGAGAGGGAAGTCAAGTGTGTGTGTGTGCGTGTGTGTGTGTGAGTGTGGAGTAGAGTGGAGTGGAATGGAGTCGGTGAAGTGGATTGGCTTGCATCATTAACAGGTTTCCGTTTCGATCCAATACATGTGCATGTATACAAAGTAATGAATGGAATTGAATGGCGTGGAGTGGGAAAGCGGGCCGCACTTTGTAGACCCGACGTCAGCCCCTTTTGATTAATGATTGGCAAATGATTATGAGCTGCTCACTCCATATACACAATATATATATCTCCATATATGTTTATATATATCTTTCTTTATCTACGCAGGGCTCCTTGGATGGTGATCCCGATGGACGCGGCGATTCTCAGGCGGAGAACAAAAGTCCCGACGATGCCAACGGCTCAAAGCGACGCGGACCCCGCACCACCATCAAGGCCAAACAGCTGGAGGTACTGAAAACGGCATTCAATCAGACACCGAAACCGACACGCCATATTAGGGAGCAACTGGCCAAGGAAACGGGACTGCCTATGCGCGTGATACAGGTGAGTTTTTCCACTCCAATGTTCCATGGTGCTCTACAAGGCCCCCATCGCGACGAACATACTTGAACATACCGGCTACACACTATAACCAAAGTGTGCTCAGGCGTAACCAGCAACTGGACTGCCGACATTCGAACAACCTAACAACCTGACAGCTGCAGTTCGTAAACAGTTTGCCCTACCCGAAAGGAATAGTCCTATTCCTGTTCCTATATAGAGGGAGCGGTTAGAAAGAAACTAAACATAAAATGAGTTTAGTTGGCTGATAAAAAGGCATTCGAAAGAAACTTAAAATAATGTGGGTATTAGTTAGTTAGTTTGCTGGCAGAGAAGTTTTGGAGAGATAAGATCTATTAGTCTAGGCTGAAATAATCAATTAATGAAAACACATCTGAAACTAACAACCTTCTGTTTGCTCGGCTTATGAGCCTGTTTTCCCACATTCATCAGCCCAGTCATTATTTCAAACCCTGGCTTTTTATATTTTTTCAAAACTTTATCGAAACAATTCGATTTTATATGTCCTGTTGTGCAGGAAATATTGAGAGCAAGATATTTTTTTTTATACGCATTGCGGGCTAAGTTTGATTTCTACATAAAAAATATATGTATTTTAAACTAAATCATTTTCAAAGAAAATATAGTATTTTATGGGTTTCGTTTGTGTGGCTTTTACCTAAGATTGAAAGTTAAAAGTAAACTGGAAATCCGGACTTGAACCAGGTTTAAGTTTTATATGGCACAGTTCTGAAAATAGTTATAATATTATTATCCTTCCACTGGAAAAACAATTATTCAAATCCAGTCATAATATTGGCAGCTTAATTATATCAACTAGCTAAAGTTATTGTGGCTCGTGGAATAAATTAAATTTGCAGAATTTTTGCGATTTTTCCGAAAAGAAATATGTAAGAACTGAACGTTTCTGAAGATCAGGTTTCGTTCTTGATAGAATTAACATATTATATAATACTAACAGATAAATTTATTATATCATCTCAGGAGATATAATATCAATCCGAACCCATGTTTTCAAATAGATCTCCACTCTCTACTTTTAGAGTTACATGAGGTTCATGTGAGCTTTTGCTTACGCTAAATGTAAACGTTGAATTTTTGCGCTTTAACGATTCCATTTTTGTGGCTGTCGACATTGTCTTCAGACCCACAGACGAAGAGTTTTGCAACGTCTTTGGGCTTGAGCTTGGGCATAGGGTTCGAGCTGGCCCTCAAAGTGACCAACAACTGACTTTGGTTTTGGTTTTGGTTTGACTTGGTTAGTTTTGCCCTGTTCCTGTCTGCGTTTCATCAGCATAAAAAACGCATAAATTAAGCGCGTTTCGAGTGCAAATGTTTAAACTAAAGCAAAGTCGCGGCTCTTGAGCCAGTTTTTGTTGTTGTTGCTTTTTTAACTTTTTTAAAACCAAATCATAAAAAATAGTCGGCCGCGATATTTCAACGTCGTGGTTGCCGCCTTGCAACGCTTCATTGCGCTGCTCTCTCGCATTCTTTGCTGTGGTTTTACGAACAACAGCAACAACAACAACCACAATGGAAAAATGCCAGTAAAAAACAACAAACCAAATACAATAAAAATAAAATTAATGCCGGCCCCGCAAAAGCTTCTAAGGCGGGGGCGCGCATAAAACCGGAAGTTCATTTCGCCGACCCCACTGCAAAAAATAAATGCTGGAAAAAAGAACACAGAACTCCCAAAAGCAACTAATACCTACACATGCATACTCTATATACTTGGGTATAGGCATTTGTGTAAATTTAAATAAGAAATTCTTTGACAAGAGAAAATGCCCTACGAAAGCGCTTAGATTTTTACGAGCTTTCCCCTTGTTGCAATGAGAAGCGCTGAGAGCGGCACTGCGTCTAACAGTCATGTAAAGGCAAATGCTAGCTAACATGCGATGCAACTGTTGCTAATTAACATGCAACACCTAGGAAAATTATGGGAAGCTCACATGAAAATGCTAAAAAAGCAAAAACAGGCGTACCGATTAACCAAAGTTCTCGGATGAGCCATTGTCATATGCAGCTTAAGGCTTTATAAATTGCCAACTAACATGTTGAAATGTTCAAGCACTTAACAAAATAGATGAACGAGTCTTAGATAGCGTGTCTAGAGCTTAGCAAAATGGCCGACAGCATAATATAAACATAATCCATAAATAATGTTGATTAACAAAAATTAATAATTAAAGTTTAAGCATAATTTCCTGTGATTACATCCAATACATGGATGACATTGAAGACAACAAATTAGTATATCATACGATAATTATCAAAGACAATGCGAAAACAAAAGACGCACAAAAGACTTAAAGACGTGCAGAGCAAGTAAGGATGCTGGTTCAAATTCCAGTTTAGATGTAAACTTAAATCTTCTTACGCAACGCAATTGACTAAGCTCTCATCCAACACATGATATATTAAAGAAGACATTATGGTATGATATTTACAAAGCGAGAACAAACGAAAGATGCTGGTTCAAATTCCAGTATGGAATCAAGATGTACGTTTTTTTTGTGCTTCTGTTGAGTCAAACTAAATCTTCCTATCCAACAAAATGGAGTTAGCTCCCATCCAACACATGATAAATTCAACCTAAAATTATGGTATGATAATTATCAAATACAATATAAGAAAATGAAGAAGAAGAGCAGCGAGAACGAGTCAGAACTATAATTTCTCAACTGTTGCATAACGATGAAAGCATCAAGCAGTTGCAATCGATACCCTTCAGGCCGCTGTCAGGATCAATGTGAAGACATGATGGCGCATCTGTTGGGATCTGTCAAGGATATCCGCAGCATATGCCGGCTGGGCCCAGTGAGTGCAACAACATCATTAGCGCCGTGGCAACATTGTGATATGCACCTTGCTTTCGATTTTCAACAGGTTTGACTTACAAATTTTCAATGCCGCGCCCCCCACACGCACACGCACACACGCAGGCACGCACACTCAGCCAGAACTCCTACACAGATGTTTAACGAGCCCAATTCTGAGTGTTTTCCCACAAGAACAGAAAGAAAAACGAAGAAAAGCGAAACATTTAACGGGGATTACGCATGCGCAGCCGTTGCATATGGGGCACATGGGCAACATGACGGTCAGCGGACTGCGGGGCATGCAAGGGCATGCCGCCTTTGATGTGTCATTGGTTACAGTTAAAGGATATTTAGGCGGCGTGTCGCGTCTTTTTTAGTTGAGTCTTTAAATGCGACAAGTGTGACACAATCAACACCTCTTTATGGGCAACAGTTGTTGTTGTTGTTGTTGTTGTCACATCGGTTGTTGTTGTTGTTGTTGTTGCTGCTGTTGCCGTTGCCCTCTTCAATTCTAAACGAAAGTGACAAATGCCAACAAGTTGAAGAGGAGGCGATGCTGCTGACGATGTCGCTGACGTTGACTTAATCGCCTTGCTTGGAGCAGCTTACACACACACATACACACACACACACACACACGCACACACACGCACAACACACACACACACACACACAACACACACATACAATACACACATACAGCTGTGCGCTGTCAACTTTTGCATCTTCATTAATGTTGCATTTTTTGTTGTTGTTATTTTTTGGTATTGTGTTTTTTATGTTTCTTTTTTTGTTGTTTTCTCTCACTTTTTGCGCGGTTTTAAAACTTTGCGCCCGTGACAAGCGGCTGACAGCTGAAGCACTTGTTATTGTTGCTGCTGCTGTTGCTGTTGCTGTTGTTGCAATCAACAATATCCAATAACAAGTTGTCAGTCAGTCAGTTGCAACTACCAGGAAAATAAGCAAGCAGCAGTTGCCATCTGCCTAGCACGCCCTCAACTCAGCTGCAGATACAGATACAATAATGTGAGATACAAATGTGAGATACAGCTGAATGTGTACGCACTGGCGACAGAGTGCGACCCCTTTGTGTAACTTGATCTGTGGCTGTGGCATCAAAGAGTTGCCACACTTGCCACAAAAGTTGAGAATTTGGTTGTCAGCTTTTGTGCTATGCGCACATCTAACAAAAATGTCAACGCCAAGCGATCGAGCTGAACTGAGGCCAACTCCAAAAGGCAAATACCGATTTCTAGGCCAGCGGCGTGCTGTGACTTTTATAATAAATTTAACAACAGCAACAAAAGCAGCAGCAGCAGCAACAGCAACAGCAACGGCAACGGCAACAGCAGACAGAAGCAGCGTGACACAAAAACTTCTTTAGAACTTTGCCGACAGCGCGCAGCGGGGTTGCTCCGCCACGCCCCCGCTGACCCCAACCCACCCCCTTTTAAAAAGGGCATATTTAACAGCAAACTTTTATTATGGGAGGCGGGGGTGCGACATCAATCGGTGGGGACGGACAAAAATTTTGCATAGCTCGAGGCGCTGCTGCGATTGGCAGGCTGAACTTTGACATGTCAGGTGAGCTGGGGCTCCAGCTGGAGACCAAGACGCAAATGGTGGCGAGAGAGAGAGAGAGAGAGAGAGAGGGAGAGAAATCAGAGGCAATGGCCAAAAACAGCAGCAGCCGCAAAAGCCGCAAGACAAATAAATCATTGGCATGTTTTCAACATTAAAGCCAAATGGCTATCACAATATAATCATGCCCAAAACAATGCTCATAACAATGGCCAATAACAATAACAGCCACAACAACAACAAGAACAACAACAACATCAGCAGCGGAGAAAAAAGTTTTTGATTTCATTTTATAGGCCGACAATTTGTTAAGCGCCTTCAATCGACTTTAAGCCAAAGCAAAGCTATAAACGCATATGTATATTATAGAGCATTTATATAGGGTGCTTCAGATCAAATACTTTGACTTCCAGTTGCCAAAATGTAAGACTCCCATTGGCATTATACGTTTAACAGTTGGTTTTACGACAAGTTTATATGACAATATCGTGCTCAAAGTAAACGCCTTTTAATGAACTCGTCCGATTGCGGCGCTGTTCAAAACGAGCTGCAAATTGACAATAGGTCTAATTTGAC